AAGGAAGAGAGAGAGCATTAATAAGAATCTGATACCATCTGCAAACACAAAAAACAGAGAGAGCACGTAAATCAGGTACACTATTAAGAGAGGGGCTGTTCGTGCATATGCTGGTTGCCAGTGTAGTTTTATTATTTAACGGGGAGAGAGATTTTCTACATATAGCTCTTGAGCCTAGGACTTGGAGCAAGTGTATGAACAGACATAACATTCATTTTAGAGTACATAAAAAGCACACACATTCCTAGAAATCTTAAACACAGAAAAATGTGAAATAGTAAAAAGAAAGAGAAACCAAATGCAAATTATGGGAAAGTATACCTTTGAAATAAAGAAAATGCAAGTCCTGAAATAATTATTCCACGATGATATCCAAAGTCAGCAGCAATTTCCTGAGGCAGCCAAGATCTAAAGAGAAATTCCTCTGAAATTGCAACACCAATTGCAGTCGCAAGTCCTTGAACAAAAAGCAAGAGCATCTGGCCATATATTCTAACCAATGTTACAGGGTCTGAAGATGATAAAGGGAGAGTAGCTGGCCAACACAGTCGGACACAGCCAATTGCGGAATTCACCGACTGTATCAGTAAAACAAGCACGGCTCCTCCACCCAAACCCATCAGCAAATTCTTGAACTACAATGAAAGCCACCAACATGCATACTTTGTTAGAGCTATAGAATGCAATTAAATGTGAATTAACTTCACCGATTTAACCTGGGAAGAGTGGGGTGTGGCAAGGGTTGCCCATCCCTTCTTCCTACTGTGTTTTTAGTTTTTACTTGTATTATGACTTTGTTAGAACTCAGTGTCTCCCTTGGGAATTTGATACCATTATTTTGTTAGAAAGTACGCAGTTTGCCACCTTTCCAACTCACTGAATCTTTACTGCTGCTCTCTCTCATAATTTTTAGAGACTAGGAACAAATAAAATATTTCTCAGAATAATCTTTTGGTCGCATTATATTTCCTGCTCTAACCCCTTAAGGTAGACAAATAATTGTCTACCTTTCTTCCCAAAAATTCTCCAATAGAAGATATATAAGATCAACGCGAAGTCCAGATGATATGTGCTAGGATATGGGTATGTTCTTATATAGATTATTTTATATCAATTATCAAACTGTTTGTGTTCTTTAATAGGCAAAATTAAAGTTTCTTCCACAAATGAGAGGATTATCTCTCAGTCATGTGCTCTCGTCTCCTCTATTTCAAAATCCTGGCTCTTCCACTTCCGTGGACGACTGCCAGGTAGTGATGACGATATATAACTAATAATGATCAGGTTTTAATGTAAGGACCTATACAGATTTTATAAAAAGAGTTTTTCTATCTCTTCTGACCATGAGGATAAAGTAATAGGATGTTTAGGATTTTTATGAACTCAAAACTTCACTAGCCAACTAAGCACTCATACATTCAAATTATTTTTCTCCACATGCTTCAAGAATAGGAGAAAGTCTGTGATGTAGAAGCATCTCATTCAAGAAGGTATATGTAAAATCCTTTAATCAATACCACGCCCTACCCTTTGTATTGGACAATATTTGACATATCAAATAATATTTAGATCATGATTAAGTAGTTAACATCCATACCTCATGTATTGAAGTCAAATCCATTCCATATTGCTTCAGTGGATCGTCATACTTGCGAATTCTTTTTCCCCATAAAGTAATCATTATCATGATAGAAACGTAGAGGCCAGCAATGCAAGCAAGCTCAACAATTTTAAAGGGCCTGCGTGTTGCCCAGCTTTGCATCAGAGATGGAAGAAATGGAATTACCACAGGTGACCATAGAAGAAGCACCAGGAAGACAAAGCCAATGATCCTATAGATAATAACAGGATGAAGAAAAGAACTTAATTGCCTATTAGGGAACCAGCTCTTGTAAAATAAAAATATATAGAGAAAAGAGATTAACTACATTATCTATAGCATTAGCTGTCATTACGGGCTAATTACGTAATCATGAAAGCTATGTGTGTAAGTAGATCACCAGATGCACTTGATATTATGGTCTTCTTACACGAGGCAGCGTAATAATTCGGTAATCATAGGTTTTCAATTAAACAAGTACAATTTTACCAGAGACATATGCAACTATAGATAGCAAGAAAAATTGCCACCAATCGACCCTTGAAAATAAAAATCAATTGTAAAGAAAAGCATTCATCAATTGTCTAATCAAGCTTCTGTTCAATTATAAGGATTTTGCCTTTTCACCATGACATTGTGCACAAAGATTGACATGTTTGAACTTTTTTCAAACATAAAACTGTTGCAAAAAAATTTCTTTGACAACACCAAGCTACAAGACACAACAACAGAAAGGTTTTAGATCTGAAAAGGCTTTAGAATGATTAATAAAAAAAATACTTGATTAGATGATGGGCTTCATCAGCTAAAGAATCCAAGATTCTTAGAGAAATTCCTTACTTCTATCTTAGAAATGACAGCAATATTTTATCCTGACACACACGCAATAATCTATCCTTTACATATCATAGATGAACTTAACAACTTACTTACCTTGGGATCAGTGAACGTTCAGCAATGTGTAGAAATGAGATGAGCTTGTCAGCCAAACTCATAGCACCACGTATACCACCCCACAACAAAGCAACTTTTCCAACTAGTTTCAAAATGCCCCCCTTCTGTCCCAATTCTGCCAACATCGCTACCAGCCTGTTCACAGAGTACAAGTTAAGCAGCCTCTCAAGAAAGAAAAGAAACTTGAATAAAAGGAAAGAGAGAGTATGGTAAAATAAAAACTATCTAACCTTTCATGATCCACTTTCCCATTCCCTTTCGTTGGTACCATAGGACTAGCAACAGACATTGCTTTCTCAGCAAGGCTCGTGACTATGTTATTCTGAGTTTTCGCAACAATTTCCTCCTCAAGTTTGAAGCGCTCTTGGCTGCTTTCGTTCTCTTTAAAGGACCCAGTTGAAGTTTCGGCAGTTTCAATATTCTACAAGCACATTGATATAAAATTTTAAGGCACTAAAAAGAACAAAGAAAAGGCATATATTTTCACATCATGTGCAACGTGCATATATTTGATGTATTGGCTCATGATGAACCAATCATATATATGCATGATCAAATCCGCTCCACAATTAAGAAAGGACTGATATAACCTCCGTTGTTTTCGACTAAGGTATGAACTAACCCAAGTTTGAACAGTGAAGCAAACACATGAAGCATTGTACTACCCGTAGAAAGGTTTTTGAGCGAGCGAGTTTCTAATTCCCTTTTCATATTAGCTGCATTTGAAGCATCATTTAAGAAAATACAGTTTTATTAAGTTTTTACCTAATAAAGCTTTAGAAAATGTGAGATGAATTACAATTTCACTTGTAAGCTAGTCAAAAAGGAATTGAAACTCTAATGGATTGAATTGAAAGAAACAGTGCTTACCTGTTGATGAACAAGTAAAGCAGATGCCCCAAGAGCAGCTGTAACAGCACCAACCATCACTCTGTTGTCCGAATTTTTCAATCCAATGTTCTCTGTACCTACGATAACTGAACTGTCCAAATCATGATCCTGATCAATAATCTTTGAAACCCTTTTATTACTCTCCTTGTCACCTTCTTGAGCATGATTGTCACTTGTTTTACTGACCTGTTCAAGGCCTACATCGTCATTACCATTACAATCCGCTGAAGTTACATCATAGAATTTCCTCACTGCAGCCAAACTAGAGCCTACAATAACCCCAACAGGCAATACTCTGCTTAAATATTCAGTGTCCTGCATAGCAGATGAAATAGCTTGTA